GGGGAGCGGAGGGAGCACACACACAGGCTAGGGGTGGGGAGTGGAGGGAGCACACACACAGGTGCACACACACAGGCTGGGGGTGGGGAGTGGAGGGAGCACACACACAGGTGCACACACACAGGCTGGGGGTGGGGAGTCTGCTCACCTGCAGGGTGAATGCTCTCTGGGGGCCCGGCACAGGCAGCCTCAGTGCAGGTGCTGGTACAGACAAGCACACAGCGTCCTTCTCTGCAGTCAGGGCAGCTGGCGACTGCAAAAGCAGAAATGTCCCTGAGCCCTGCCCCTGCCCTGTAGACAGTGCCAGGCAAAGGTGCATCACCCAGAGGTGAGGCGGGGCTCATTCCCCGGCAATTCACACTCGGCGAGGGTGAAAGCACAGGGGAACGCTACAGCGATCCCCACTTTACACCCCGGGTGGCTGACCCCAGGGAGCTGGCTCAAGGACTGGGTGGGGGGGAGGGCGGCCTGCGGGCAGGTCGGGGCGAGCACGTCCCCCAGGGGAGCGTGCGTGTCCGGGCCGCCTGTTCCCCCACTGATGAGGCACACTGAGGCTCCAGCACTGAGCTCACAGGGTGAGCTCACAGGTGCTGGCCTCACCTGGACAGACAGAGACACAGGCAGGAGCCGGGAGTCCTTCCGAGGCCGCCCTTTCTTCTTCTTCTCCACTGTCTCCACCTCAAGCTCCAGTTTTCGCTTGGACAGTGAGGACGGCTTGGCCACAGGGACCTTCTCGTCGCTGTCACTGCTGCTCTCCAGCAGGTCCCGGGGCCTCGGCTCTTTCACGAGGCTCTGCTCTTTCAACCTGCATGAACACAGACACCCGCGGCTTTGTCCACGCAACCATTAATTTTATAATAAGAAAACCCATACTTATGCCCAAAAGTTGATAAATAAAAAAGTAGGAAAGGACTTCTGGTTTTTCTCCAACATGTGAAAAGTTTGAAAGTTGTCACTCCCATCCTCAAAATAAGACAAAGGCTGACAGTCTGAAAATGAATGACTCTTCTTAGATCCATCAGGAAGTGAGGTCACAGGACAAATTGTGGAAAGCTGGAGCGCGAGTGCAGACAGCCACAGCTCACCTGGAGCAGAAACCCTTCGAGCCCCACCGCGCAGGAAGACTTGGAGTGACTGATACACCGCTAGAGGTGGAGAGCAGGCCAGCTTGGGAGCTAAAACTCCTGGGAGCCCAGGGTAGGAGGACACCCACATTTTTTTGGTTTTTCCCTCTAGGAGTTCCCCCAGGCTCTCATTGGGTGATCAGGGATAGAGAAAATCCCGTGTGCTTTGGGCTGGGGGATGGGGAGAAGCAACCATGTGAAACACATCCAGAATTCTGTTCCCCTCAGCAAAATCCTGCCCTTAACGGAAACTACTTTACTAGAGCCTGATATGCGACCTGTGGGCAGGACAGTTAACCAATTACAGTTCAGCTGCATAGGTAGGGGTACACGTACACACACACACACACACACACACACACACACACACACACACACACACAGGAACTCTTCCAAAGGTCATAGCTCAAGGACTCTGGTACAAGAAAAAAGAGGAGATTTAATCACGAGATAATACAGTACTTCGCCTCCCTAGCATCTCATCACCAACAGGGCTCCAATATAGGAACAGTAGGTTACAACTAAGCTGAAAGACAAAGACTCTATTTAACAAGGAACTTCTAGGGAAACTCAAAGGTAACGGAGACTAGTGCAAGGACACTGGGGGAAATGGAAGCCTCTGACACTTACAGGAAACAGTAACATGGCCTACCTCTTACCTATATAAATGAAACTTCATACTAAAGGCCTCTTTAGATCAGTTCCTGCTGCTCAGTACATTATGTTTAGTTTTCATAAAAAATTACAAGGCATGGTAAGAGGCAAAAACCAAACTGAACAGAAAAATAAATAAAAACAAATAAACCACAGTCTTAAAAGATGAAGAAACCATCAGAACCAGAGTCAGACATGGCTCTGTCAGATTTTGGAGTTATCAGGCATGGATTTTAAATAACTATGGTCAATATGCTAAGGGGTCTAATGGAGAAAGTGGAACAATATACAAGAATAGACGGGTAATGTAAGCAGAGAGAATATAATAATAATGATGATAATAGCTGAGAATAGTAAGTGTAATGATAATAGCTAAGAATTTTTCAAAACGAAAGATACCAAGCCATAGATCTGACCTGCTTAGAGAACACAAAGTGGGATAAATACCCCAAACACTACACCTATACATACCACCCTCAAACTACTGAAAACCAGAGACAAAGAGAAAACCTAGAAAGAAACTGGAAGAAAAAAACACTTTACCTATAAGGGACAAGGTAAGAATTAAATCTGAAAAATAAACCCACCAGCCTAGGACTCCATATCCAGTGAAGTTATACCTCAAAAGTGAAAGAGAAATAAAGACTTTCTCAGACAAAAACAAACAAAAAAAACCACAAGAAATTTGTTGCCAGCACACCATTCTGGCAAAAAATGATTAAAGTTCTTTAGTGCAAAGGAAATATAGGTCAGAAATTCAGATCTGCATGAAGAAAGCAAGACTAGAGAAGGAATAAATGAATATAAACCTTTTTCTTATTCTTAATTAAAAGAGAGAACTTTTTGTTTAAACTAGTAACAGCAACAATGTACTGAATGATTATAGTTTGTAAATAAGTGAAATAAATAAATGGTAGCAATGTTAGAAAGCATGGACAGGAAAAATTGGGAATACTCTATCATAGGTATGTTTAAGTGGTAAATATCTTTTGAAAGTGTATTTAGATTAAAAATGTTTATTGCAAACCGTAGGGCAACCATTAAAAAAAATCTTAAAAGCAGTATAATGTGCTGAGAGATAATGTAAGAGGTACATTACCTAACTATCTAAAGTATTGTTAGATCATGCGAGAGGAGAAAAAATGGAAGCATATAAAAATGCTCAAGTAAAATCAGAGAAGGCAGAAAAAGGACGGGGTGGACTAAAAAAAAAAGAAGGAACAGTGTAAGGAATAGAAACAGTTCAAGATATGGTAGATATTAATACAACTATACAAATAATCACTTTAAATGTGAATGTTCTGAATATACCAATTAAAAGACACAGATTGATGAAAAGGATAAAAAAGACTGAAGATTATGTGGTCTACAAAAAATTCAGTTTAAATATAAATATATAGATTAAAGGGATAATTCCAAATCTATGACATTCCGGCAAAGGGAAAACTATGGAGACGATAACAAGTGGTTGCCAGGGGCTGGAAGGAGGGAAAGATGAGCAGCCGGAGCACGGAGGACTTTGAGGGCAGTGAGACTGCTCTGACACGGTAATGGTGGGTACTTGTCCTTAGAAATTTGTCCAAACCCACAGATTGTACAGCTCCAAGAGTGAACCCTAATGTAAACTAGGGACTTTGGGTGACCATTTGTCCATGAGATTCATAAATTATTAACACAGTGGAGATGGAGGGATGTATGAGAACTCTGTACTTTCTGCTCAATTTTGCTGTGAACTTTAAACTGCTCTAAAAATTAGTCTATTAAGAAAAAAAGACACAGACATGGAGAAAGACACAGACATATCTCATTGCATTGAGCTTTATTTTACTGCACTTTGCAGATATTGTGTTTTTTTAAAAATTGAAGGTTTGTGGCAATCCTGCATTGAGCTTTTTTTTTCTTCCCAACAGCATTTGTTCACTTCATGTTACTGTATCACATTTTGGTAATTCTTGCTACAGTTCAAGCTTTTCCATTATTATTATATTTGTTATGGTGATCTGTGATCAGTTATCTTTGGGGTTATTAGTGTAATTGTTTTGGGGTGCCATGAACTGCCCACAAAAAGACAGAGGATTTATCAAAAAACATTGTGCGTCCTGACTGCCCCATTGACTGGCTATTCCCATCTCTCCCTTTCCTTGGGTTCTCCTGTTGACTGAGATACAATATTGAAATTAGGCCTTCCTTAGAAAAATGTCTATTCAGTTCCTCTGCCCACTTTTAATCTGGATTATTTGGGTTTTGTTGGTGTTGATTTGTGTGAGTTCTTTGTATGTTTTGAATATTGGCCCCTTACTGGACATATCATTTGCAAATATATTCTCCCATACAGTAGGATACTTTTTCATTTTGTTAAAGATTTCCTTTGCTTTGCAGAAGCGTTTTAATTTGATATCGCTCCACTTATTTTTGTTTCTGCTTCTCTTCCTTGGGGAGACATATCCAGAAAAAAATTACTAATGCTGATGTTCAAGAATGTACTGCCTATGTTTTATTCCAAGAATTTTACGGTTTCAGGTCTTATTTTAGGTCTTTAATCCATTTGAGTTTATTTTTGTGTACAGTGTGTAAGACAATGATTCAGTTTCATTCTTTTTCATGTAGTCCAGTTTTCCCAGCACCATTTATTGAAGAGATGAGCTTTTCCCTATTGTATATTCTTGCCTCCTTAATCACATATTAATTGATCACATGAGCATAGGTTTATTTCTGGGCTCTTTCCAGTTTCATTGATCTATGTTTGTTTTTGTGCCCATACCATACTGTCTTGATTACTGTAGCTTTATAGTATAATTTGAAATAAGGGAGTGTGATTCCCCCAGGTGGTTTATTCTTTCTTGAGATTGCTTTGTCTACTCAAGATCTTTTGTGATTCCACACAAATTTTAGGATCATTTGCTCTAGTTCTGAGAAAAATGCCATTGTTAATTTTCATGGGGGTTGCACTGAACCTGTAGGTTGCTTTAGACACTATGGTCATTTTTGCAATATTAGTTCTTCCTATCCATTAGTGTAGAATACCTTTTCATTTATTTGTGTCTTCCTCAATTTCTCTCATCAGTGTTGTATAGTTTTCAGAATATAGGTATTTCACCTCTTTTGTTAGATTTATTCCTGGATATTTTATTCTTCTTGATGCAATTATAATTGGTATTGGTTCCTTAACTTCTGTGAGTTCATTATTTATCTCTAGAAACACAACAGATTTTTGTATATTGATTTTGTATTCTCTGACTTTACTGAATTCATTTATTAATTCGAAAGTTTTTTGGTGGAGTCTTTAGGATTTTCAATGTAATACTATATAATACTTTACATAGTGCTGCAAATAGTGACAATTTCACATTTTCCTTACCAATCTGGATATATTTTATTTCTTTTTCTAAGCTGATCGCTGTGGCTAGGACTTCCGGTATTATGTTGAATAAAAGTGTCTTGTTCCTGATCTTAAGGGAAAAGCTTTCAGCTTTTTGCCATTTTGAGTATGATGTTAGCTGTGGGTTTGTCATATGTGGCCTTTATTATGTTGAGATATCCCTCCCTACCCATTTTGTTCAGAGTTTTTGTCATGAATGAATGCTGAATTTTGTAAAATGCTTTTTCAGCAACTATTGAGATGATCATATGGTTTTCATCTTTCCCCTTTTTTAATGTGGTGTATCAGACTGATGTGCAGATATGGAAAGATCCTCGCATCCTTGGAATGAATCCCACTTGGTTGTGGTGAGTGATCCTTCTAATGTGTCTTTGAATTTGGCTGGCTCATGTTTTGTTGAGGACTTTCGCATCTGTTTGTTAGGGGTATTGATCTGGACTTTTCTTGTATTGTCTTTGGTTTTGGTAGATAGAGGTAGGTGATGCTGGCCTTGTAGAGCAAATTTGGAAGTTTTCTTTCCTTTTCAATTTTTGGAACAGTGTTAGAAGGTTGGGTATTAACTCTTCTTTAAGTCTGGGAGAAGCGTCCTGTGACTTGACTACTGATTCAATTTCATTACTGGTACTCGGTCTGTCTGTATTTCTTGCT